TCAACTTAAGTGCCACTTCCTACTTAAGGCCTAGCCTGATCCTCCTCAGTGCTGGTACCCTCCATTTCACCCAGAAATTAGTTGATCTGTATTTTGCATTTACTTCTCAATAGATAGATAGATAGATAGATAGATATTACATATGTCTATGTGTATATATGATATACATTACCTATATCATATACCTATATATATTCTATATATTACACATATATCTATGTGTATATAATATATGTATATATAGTTTTACCAGATGGAATGTAAGTTTCTTAAGGATTAGGACAATGTTAAGTTCTTGTCTTTGTAGCCATAACACCTAACACAATTCCTGGCACATGACAAGTGCTCAATAAACACTTTTTGAATAAGTGAATAAATGAACAACCATTGAGCTCTCTTCTTTCTGATCTCCCATAGTACTTAATACCATAAAATGTTGAACTTTATTATATGCTGTGATGCTTTCTCCCACTGTTTCATCTATGCAATGTATATAAATATAAATAATATATATAAATCTCCAATAAGATGAGAAGTGCTTTGTGGTATGTTACATTTGTTGTATCCCTCCAGTGTCTAGAACCATGGCCACCACACAGTAAGTAGATGCCGAGTTCAGCTGAATCTGTAAGGCATTCGCTGAACTTCTGAAGGGGAATTGTTCTTTCTCTCTGACCTGATTATCAGTGCTTGAGAATCCAGGATCCACAATGACTTTATACTCTGGAAAAAAGAAGGAGAGGAACATAAAGATCAAATTAGAAGCAAGAAGCAGTCTCCATTTTCACAGGACTTTCTCTTTAAAGGAAACTACAGGCTTCCTATGTCCCACAGGAATTTATCTCACAGTTTTCTGGCCATAAATACTTGAGAAGTCATTTTGCACAATCCCCCACTTACCAATAACCCATAAAAATAAATCATGTAACACAACTTCATCAAGTCAGAATTTTTTTTTAAAGACACTCATGACTCATTTTTGGCCTTTTAATAGTCCTTTTTTTTTTTGGTGAGGCAATCAGGGTTAAGCGACTTGCCCAGGGCCACCTAGCTAGGCTGGTCCTCTTTAAAAAGCATCTTTCTCTGCTTTCCTTTGTTCCTCCAAACACATATGTCCATTGCCTTTTAAGCTAACTAATTCATCCTCCCTTCGAAAATGTCATGTAAGGCATATTAACACCAATGTCATTTGTGATTTAGATTTAGACCAATCAAAAATGTTCTTCATCTTGTCATATGCTATTCTGCCATAGCCCTCCAATTCAGAAAAGCAGCTGAGGAAATGGGGTGGGGGGTAGAGAGCATCTAAAAATAATGAGTCTGAGTCAAAAGACCCAAGTTCTAGTTCTAGATTTTTTACTTTCCATCTCTGTTACCTTGGGCAAGTCACTTCACTTTTTTAATGCCTCACTCTCCTTATCTGTAAAAGAGAAATAATCATCTGCACTACTTAAACTCTGAGGCTTAGATGATATCATGTACATAAAATATTTTGAGGAGAAAGAAAGACTATTAAAAACACACACATATCCGCCATTGTTATTTGTAAGCTACTAGAGAGCTTATTGAACACTTTTATTTTCATTTTGGTAAGAAAACAGTCTTCTTACCAAAGAATGAGAAGCTGCTTGGATTTAAGAAACAGAAGCCTAGGCTTAAGAAATAAGAAAGGCCAGTTGGGCCCACATGATCTGTTTGCCACCTATCTGGGGGATCTAGAAAGGCATCTCAGAAGAAGCCTTCAGGACAGGAGCAAAAAATGCAAACACTAACAAAAGAACAAAAGGGTTTTGAAGGCTTGAGTCTTTGAGGACAAAGCATAAAATGAAATTATTACTGTAGCTTTCTAGAGACTCCTAACAATAAAATGGTTATAATCTTCAGAAAATCAAGGAAGGGTTCCAGCTGGGTTACCGTTTAGTCCCAAATACAGGACATGCTTTTCAGCACTAGGAGAGTGTATACAGACCGTATCAAAAGTTACCGGTTGCATCATGTTATAGGGGCTAGTTGAAAAGAGGAGGGGGGAGGGAGAGACCATCAAAGGTTATCAATCTCATAATGACTGGGATTTTCAGCTTTCTGTCATTAGAGCTAAGTTTATGATGCTTGACTTGAGATAAGGCCCCACCTAACCAGTGCAGTAGTTCACTCTCTGATCTTCCTGATAGATGGTCAGCCAGCTTCTGAATGAATGACACTTGTGACAAGAAGCTCACTACTGCATAAAACAGCCCATTCCATTTGTGAACAGCTTTAATGATTAGAAAGCTCTTCATCCGAAGGGCAGTGAGATATGGGAGAAGAAGTGTTGAATTTAGCCTTAGAGCATGTCAATCCAATCTCAGCTCTGCTGCTTAACATCTATGTGTCCTTGGCTAAGTCACTTAACCTTTACATGGTTCATTTCAAGTCCTTGATGCATAAAATGGGGGAAGATCTAAATCTATGATTTTAACTGAGCTCTGCTTTCCACTCACTGGTCTTCATTCAGTCTTTTGTGGGCACATAGGACTGATCCACTACCTTTCCCCAATAACAGATATTTGAAGATCCTGTTCCCAAGGCCTTTAACTGAGCCTCACATAGTATATTAATACAATAGCTTCTATGAGTAGATTCAAAAACCATAAAACTTCCTTAGTAATTAATTCAACATGGAAAATGTGATGCACATATGTAAACAGGTCATATAGAGCATACATAATTTAGCATGCCTCCTCATTAGATATGTTACAACATCCTGTCCTAAGCAAAGAAATCACATTAAATTATAGAAAGCAACCTTTGATTGGACTAATGCCAATTACTTATCAATGAACAACAATGCAATATTTTTCATGTCCTTGGTTGTAATAAAAGATTATACTGTAAATTCCCATGATAATTAAGTGACTTATTACATACATATTCCTATTTATTAACAGATATCATGCTTAAAAAAATATGAGCTAGATACTTTAGTCCAAGTAAATGGAAAAATTAGAGAAAACTCAGCCCCTCTGAAATAGCCAAATGGATGCCAATTCAAGTTCAGCTTTGTTATCATTTTGTTTTCATAATTCAGAGAGGGGGGGAAAAAACCTTCCCCCACATAATCTCTCCTTCTGAGGACCCACCTGTTCTTGGGTTGCTAGGTAAAACTGGCTATCCTGGAAGCACAAAAACATTTCTGGTGAATTTTGTTCTTGCTGCTACAGCAGACCTCAGAGTTACACAGTCAGATGTTGCCAGAGGCCTATGGGTATGATTTGGTTTCTTGGAGGCCAAGACCTCTTTCTCTCTCTCTCTTCTCTCTCTCTCTCTCTCTCTCTCTCTCTCTCTCTCTCTCTCTCTCTCTCTCTCTCTCTCTCTCTCTCTCTCTCTGTCTCTGTCTCTGTCTCTCTCCCCCCAACAGGTACTGACCAGGGGGCTGTTTCATACAAACAACTGTATGTGTTTTAAGGCCACAAAAGGAGAGAAAATAGTAACTAGGTCAGTTACTTTACCCATCTGAAAGAGAAAATCTCTGTATTGTTGCAGGCTCAAAACAAGGCCCAAGAGAGCTTTCATCTCTGATAGCTGAAATCATTAAAGAAGAGATTTCTCCCTCCAGAATGCAGAGAGAAAAGAAAGAACCAGAAGCTCAAAGGAAGGATTGTCAACTCCAGCAAAATGCGCCTTACTGGAAAACTCCATCAGCAGCTTCCAGACGAACAAGGCTCGCCCTTCCCCCCATCCTCTTCTCCCCTTCCCCCACCTCCCCCGAGCCCTTTTCAGGGTTTCTGGTCCTTGACACAAGTAAGACAAGACGGTTTCAGAGCTAAGACATCAATTCTCTTCAACTTTGGCCCTGTCCCAGGGACTGGCTTTTCGCCAAGGGGGTCTCTCTCTGCCTCCTCTCTTCTCCGCTTGTCTCACTTGGGACCCGCGTCATTCGTCCACCCTTCCCGGCTCTCCCGCTTCTCTCCTGCGAGCTGTACAGGCAGGTGCGGGGCTGGCACTGCCCGGCTCCTCTGGGGAAAAGGAGGGAGGTAGGCTTAGTTCATCCCTCCATCGCCCGTCGCTCTACCCAGGGGCGCCCCGGCTGCCTCGAGGGCCCGAGGGAGGCGACGGGGGCCCCGGGACCGGCTGGACCACTACTGCAGCCCAAGCCTTGCCGGGCGCTTGGGCCGACGCCCCCCAAGCAAACTGTAGGGCCACAGACCTCTGGCACCCCCGGGGACTCTTCCGGTCCCTTTGTCATCCCATCCCCCCCACCCCAGTGGCTGTTCGGGCGCTGCCAGGGTTCGGCTGGAGAGCCCTCAGGACCGGGCCGGGGCCGCCGATGCCCTGCCGGGCCAGGCTCAGCAGAGCCCAGAGCTGTCCATCCAAACAGCCCATTCCTGCACTGCCCAGCGTGGCCCGGCTCGGTCCGGCCCAGCACTGCCTGCTCATCCCCGCGCAGCCCAACACCGCACAGCGGCACGGCGTGCAGAGCTTCCAGCTGGGGCCTGGCCGCCGGGCCGGCGGGGCAGCAGGGCGACACGGCTGCCTCTGGCCAAGGGAGGCGGGGAGGGGGGAGGGGAGGAGAGTGGGCGGTGAGCACGGAGCTGGGGGCGGAGCGTGGGCGGTGCCGGGGCCTTCCCGCTCCCCGGGCTCCTTAACTCGGCAGAGCCTCCTTAAAACTGTGCCGTTAAAATGGGGGCGGGTTTTTCAACTCAAAAAGCGCTCAATTTTTTTTCATTTCAAAAAAAGCTGATGAGGTCGGAAAAAAAAAAAAGACGAAACCGGCCCCGACTTTGCAGGCAGCAGCGGCAGCGGCGGCGGCGGGCAGCCTGAGCGCGGCTCCTTTCTCCAGGGAGCCCAGCGAAGCTGCCCGGCCGGGCTGAGGGGACCTGGGAGAGGGGACAGCGTCCACCGGGGAACGGCAGGAACTGTCCGGGACCGGGGAAGCCGGAGCTAGATAGCTGTCACCGCGAGTAGAGAAGCATCGGGGACCCGGACCTGGGGTCGGGCCGGGCCCGGGCTCAGCCAAGTCAAGTCAAGCCAGGAAGGAGCTGGAGCCGGAACTAGAGCAGGAGCCGGAGCCAGGGAACCTGAGTCCACCGGGGCCCCGGGAGAGCGAGACGACTGGGGCCGGGACAGGGGTAGGAGGCGGGCGTGCCAGCCGGACGTGCCCAGCGTCTCCCCGCGCCTCGACGCCCAGAGGAAGCCTCGATGGGCCCCAGCATTCGGAGGCCGGGGAGCGCGCCGGCCCGACCTTAGGCGGGAAGCGGCAGCCGGAGGCTCGGGCTTTTGAAGACGGAGGCTGTGAGGCTCCAGTGCCTGCGCCCGGACCCATCATCTCTCGTCCAGCCTTGTTCAGTAGCCGAAGACTACGAGAGACTCTCCCGCAGCCCTCCGCCCCAGTACGGCACGATGAGGCGGCCGGGACCCTGCGAAAGGCAGCCGGGGCGCCCCCGGGGACCACGCGGCGCCCGACGCCCCCAGCCTGGGAGGCTCGGCTGGGCTGTGACTGCATTCTCGGCGGGCTGCGGAGCCTGCCCCTAGCGCCTCAGAAGCCCCCTCGGGCTGCCGAAGGACGGACGCACCGAGCCCCGGAGGGAAGCCTTGGGGCCGCCGGGCTCTTGGCCACGGAACCCTCCAACCTCGCTTTGCTTTAACCCCTTGGGAGTGAGCTCTTCGGCATCAGCCTGGACTATCCCGCCGGCCCGGGCTTGGCGCCCCGTATGGATGGAGAGCCGGTACCGCCGCTTTGCCCTGGAGCCCGAGCCGCCGCCGTCGCCGCCACCCTGCCGCAGCAGCTTCCGAGGCTCGAGTCGTCGCTGTGAACAAGGGTGGGTTGTTGATGTTTTTCTTTCTCTCTTTCTTTCTCTCCCTGTCTCCTTTTCATTTTCCTCTCCGGTTCTGCGGTGATTACTGCTTTGCTCTAGCCCCTGGGTCTCCGGACTCATAGCTGCTATGGGCCATGTCTCTACATATATGGAACACGTATGACAGCTGCCCGCGTAGCTACCAGTCACGCAGTTGCCAACAGCTCACAAAGCTGGATGTGCCCGGGTGTCTCTGGGTCGACATCCGCGGAGTTCTTCCTAGGGGTTAAGAGAGAGAGAGAGCGAGGAGCAAAGCCCCCCTCCAATAGCTCCGTTTTGCTGAATAATCACGTGTGAATCGAGGGGCGGGCTCTTGGCAGGCAGATCTTACTAGTATTTACTACACCGAGCTCACTCCCGAAGATTAACCATCCCAGCCCTTCTGTCAGGCTCCGATGCCATCATGCAGCCTGGTTAGGAGCAGGGGGGGGACCCGACTAACGCATCTTTTCCCGATCGTCAGGACCCTAAAGAATGGCCGAGCCTTTGGGGAACGAGCTGGCGTCCGCAGCTGCCAGGGGCGACCTAGAGCAACTCACTAATTTGTTGCAAAATAATGTGAGCGCCAATGCAGAAAATGGATTTGGAAGGACGGCGCTGCAGGTTGGTATCCCGAGAGGTGGGGGAAACAGGTCCCCGAGGCTGCGTCCCTCCGGGAACCGGGCTGGGGGAGCGACAGCCAAGGAGCTGGCCGGGGTCCCCAATCCCACTCTTTTTTGAGACGGAGCCGGTTGCCATATTTTAGATCTCAACTTTAAGTCGATCCAACTCCCCCCAATGACGTACTTGGAATAAAATCGCCAAAGCCAATAACCTAGTCGATCTCAGGGAGGTGGCAGGTCTCGCCTCGTTTTCGGGGGGCTTCTGGGGGCCGGGGTCGGGGGGTGCTCCCCAGGAGTCCTTCCAGCGCTAAGGTTGCTCGGAGCAGATCTGTAAACACGTCCCAATGATGATTATCTGAAGTCAACACACTGCTATGAGTGATTTGGGCTGTTTTGCCCCAATAACTGCCTCCCAGGTCCACTTTCTCGGCTCCTGCCTTCTAGGAGGCTGCCCTTTGGGGAGCTGCGAGGGCTTCGTCTACCGCCCAGCAGCCCCCGGCCCCCAGCTTCCAGCCCTGGGGCGCGATGTCCATTTCACAGTTAACGCGGCTGCAATCGCCGCCGCCGCCGCCGCCGAGCTGCCTGCCACCCGCCCATTCACAAGGCAACCCGGGGGGAAAGGCGACTTTGCGGCTCGGCCAGAGGCTGAGCGCCCGCCCGTTCCTTAAATTTACAGACAACAGCCGAAATGCGCCTAAGTGCCAACTATTTATTGTACCTGATAGAATGGTGGTGTGGAGTTTTTCCCCTCCACTTCCCTGAACAATATCAAGATGTGGATGAAAAGAGACAAAAGGCATAAGCGTTTTCTAAAATAGTCCCTGTATTTCTCCTCGTGTTCTAACAATCTATGTTACGAATTGCTACACTTGAGTCCTAGTCTTTTGGGGGTTTGGAGTGTTTGCTTTCAGATACAGAAATTAGGATTTTAAGTGACAGGAGATAGCTGTTGGCAGATGGAGTCCTTGTACTCTTTTAAGATGAAAATCGGGATCCAGGACCTTGCAAAAAATATCTAGTTTTCACTGAGCTTATGCATGGACACGAAAAATCTTTCCTGTTTGTGATTTCAGAGAGATTGAGGGAAAAGAGATACGATTGTCCTGATTTTTTTCTTCTAACTTTGCTCCACAAAAAAGGTAGGATCCCCCAAATGCCACACGCTGTATAGATTAAAAGGATTTCTTTTGAAAATCTAAATATTATAGAAAGCCCAGAAGGGCAAGAAAGGGGCGCTTGAATTACATTTAAAAACCAACAACAACAATAACAACAAACGACTAGCAAAACCCTGGTTTTTTTACAAAAATGCAAGGAGAATTTCACTGTTAAATCTGCCAGGGACCTATTTTGGGGTCAGTTTTTCTATAAGCATACAATGTTGTTTACATTAACCATACTAATCAGTATACTAATACCTACTTATTGAAGCTTAATCCTGCCTGATTTAATGACACATACCTACTCTCCCCCAAAACAAAAAAATCACGAAAGAGAAGAGAATGTAAATTTATTTTCAATATGTATAATCTTGAAACGGTGAGTGGTGATATAATTTGAGAGAACTTTCTCTCAGCAGTTTCCAATATTACTATTATTTGCTGAGGGGAGATGGAAAATTTCCTTCCACAATTACATTAACTTAATTTAATAGCAGTAACTTTTTTTTCTCCTTCTGAATGTTGATTTCCAAATTGGGATATTAATGGCAAGGCCTGAGTTGCAGATTTACTCTTCAAAGCTCTGAGGTGTCTGTGTCTCCTCATGCCTTCTCTTCTGAACACTGACTCAAACTTCAAATACCCTCGTGATCACCAGAAGGTGTTAGGTCAGGTTTTATGACTCAAAATGTTATTTCAGAGAACTTATTTTTTTAAAAAAAATCAATAGCCTTGTGCCCAATTTTAATCTTTGCCTCCTAAAGAAAGTCTAAAGCAGGCAACAGTGTTGTGGTTAAGGAAAAGGTTAATGGCAGACTGTCTTCAGTAAGCACAGACTTAACATTTTGCATCTTTAATATATTTTACCACCATTAGTTAATTAGAGATTATTACTAGTCAAAACAATGCTCCTTTTCAGAAGGAGATCAATTTCGGGGGTGTTTTCCAACAGATTATAAATAGAAATGCAATACTTACTTGTCTACCTGAATGTAATAAAGATTTTTCAGATGTTGACATTTTCTGGCTTATCAGTGAGAGACTCGATTTTCCAGAACTGAGAATCTATATTTTGTATTTTGTATGATGCAATCCAACATGATGTGACTTTAGAACACTACTAATGAGGGCCACTGGATATAGGCCTTCTTAGCACAGTGAAGGAGGTTCATACACAACAATAGATACCTAGCATATGTCTGTGAAAATTTGCAAATCGAACCATTTGTGAGCAAATGCTTATTATTGAGCCTTAATTTTGATGTAAAACATTAAAAGTAATTGACAATAGCTATTCCTAGCTGCTTGGACTATTAGAACTAAAGCAAAGCAGAGGAAGGGCCACCAAGTGATTATATAAGAAAGGAAAACAATAGTTCAAGGCACATAGGGACTCAAAGTAGACAGTAATCTCATCTTTTCTTTCCAAATCATCCATTTGAAACTCAAGTGGTCAGTTAGAACTTTGGAAAACAAGCAGCACTTTGTAAAAATGACCAGTAGTGAGTGTTTGTATTTGTATTATTTAAAAGAACATTGGTCAGACAGCCTGTAGTTTCCTCTCAAACACAAACACACACGAACTCTGTTTTAGTTTGGTTTGATTTAGTTGGTATATATAATCGAAAGAGAGGAAGCCTCCTAAATTAGTGAATGTCTCAACCATCATTTACACTTTCTTTGGGAATGGAGGTTTCTAAGTATAAGATGCATCTCTTTATTCACTATAAAGTGATTGGTCGATATAAAATGGAAAAAGAAATCAAAACTGCTTGTCCTCTGAGCTATGATTTTATTTTGGAAATTAGATGTTAAGAAAATTAGATCATTCTGGAGTAAAAAAAAAACCCAATCCCAATATATTCTAATATTGGGTGATGGAATGAAACCTAACACTGTGAGCACTTATTTTGTTGTTTAAGGAAGTCACCCAAATGGCTGTTTTTACTCCTGGGGCCCAGAAAATGTCACCCCTTTTGTGTATCACCAGATGTAATTTTTTCAACTTGAACAAGAATAAAGATTGACATTCTTTACTTACAATAATCAGTCCCACAATCTCTTTCATTTCGTAAGCTTAATGAAATGGAAATTACACAATTCTTAAGTATTCTGAATTGAGAGCTGGAAGGGACCTTAGCCATCCTCTAGTGAAGAATTTCTCAGGGATCCTGTTTTTAACACTAGATTCCATTAGTGTATTTTTATTCACCTCCCTAAAAATCATTAAATAACTTCTCCTTGAAATTATTCAGTTAACTGTTGGTCCCTGGCTCAGGCTGCAAAGATTTTAACTGTGATAAATTTGCTATTGTATTTGCAGCCTGTTTAAGATCTTCTATCTGTCATTCAATTGTAGGACTTTTCAAAATAATAATAATCACAGTAACTTCCATTTCAAAGACATTTGAAGATTTATGAAGCATTTGGCCCACAACAGCCCTGTAGGATGGTTCAAGTATGATTCCGTCCATTTTACGGATGAGGAAACAGGCTAAGAAATGGGAAATCCCCCAGCTAGGCAATGTCAAAGCGCAAATCTGGGATGGTACGATTTAGGAGTGCAAAATCTTAGGCGCCTAGGGGAGTCGAGCACCTTCGATTTTTCTCCCTTCCTCTGGCAGTACTTTCCGCATGCTCAATTCCTCCTCTGTTCAACCCTTCCACCCCTCACCTCCCAGCAAACATAATGACCACTTTACTGTTCTAATCTGTAATCTCAGTAACAACTAATAGTACTGATCAGCTAATGCCGCCACCTTGGGTGAAGTAAGAGAGCCCAGCCCGACTGATGGCTTGGCGAGAGCCTTGAAGGAGCCCACCGCCTGTCTTTCTGTTGTTCCCAGGTGATGAAGCTCGGAAACCCCGAGATTGCGCGGAGGCTTCTACTGCGCGGTGCCAATCCGGACCTGAAGGACCGCACGGGCTTCGCGGTCCTGCACGATGCTGCCCGGGCCGGCTTTCTGGACACCTTACAGACTCTGCTGGAGTTCCAGGCCGACGTGAACGTGGAGGACAGCGAGGGCAACCTGCCGCTGCACCTGGCTGCCCGCGAGGGCCACCTGCCCGTCGTGGAGTTCCTGCTCCGACACACTGCCTGCAGAGTGGACCACCGGAACCACCAGGGCGACACCGCTTGCGACGTGGCCCGCCTCTACCGCCGGGACGCCGTGGTACGACTTCTGGAGGCCGGCAGGCCCGACGACGCGGCCCCGCTCCCAGGCGGCCCGGCGCCCGCCACTTCGGCCCCAGCCGCCCCAGCCGAGCCGCCCTAGAAGTCCCAAGGCCAGGCCGGCTACTGCCCCGGCGCCGCACCTTCCCTCCGTGTTCTGCTGCCCAGTCTGACTGTTTGCGTGCGTGCCGGGGATTACTGCGCTCTCCCACTGCCTTTTAAGCAAATAGTCAAAGCCTCAAACTACGGAGGTGGGATTCTTACGAAAGATTTATGAATATATTTAAAAAGGCTTCCAATTCGCCTTCAAACACCTCCCTCCCCACCCCACCCCCATCCACCCCCAGAGACCTAATATCTGCTTGCAAAACTGCTTTGGTCTCCGGAATATAGAGTTTCCTTCTTCCTCAATTTCCAGCCTCAACCCACCTCAGCCCTCACCTCCCTAACCCCTCTGGTCCCCTTGCCTATTCCCCCCTACTTTGCAACTTCGTTTTCAAAAAGTCTATCTATATCCTGATGCTTCTTTTGCCTAATTAAAACTCTTTTTAAATGGGACAAATGTTTCGGTGATTTCTTCCTCCATTCCCACTTTCCTCTCCTCTCTGCTATGATTGTACCCAGGAAGGCTTTATTCAAAGTGTGTGAGAGTTTATTGGGTGGATTCTGTTCGAATAGCATCACAGGCCCTAGAACTGGCAAGGACTTCATAAATCATCTCTGTGCCACCCTCTCATTTTACAGTTGAGGAAACTAAGGCCCACGGAATTGTCCAGTGGTCTATTATACAAAGGGCTTAGGGCTGGAAGGGGTTTCTGAGTTGGAAGGTCGTGTACGCTTTCATTCTCCTTTTACAGAAGCAGAAAGTGCTTCGAAGCCAGGAGAGGGGAAGTGACTTGACCAGCAGACAGGTGGAAGCAAAGTGAGAATCCTCGAGCCCAGGTTTCTTCTAGACCCAAATGCAGTTTACACCTCTTTCCAACTCCCTATTCTATGTCCAGTTCAGGACTTCCTTTCTCTCTCACCTCCTCCTTCCCCCAAAAGAACGTGGGGGATAGCCACCGTCCCCAGTGGAGAATCGCCCCAAACTGTTTCCCTTAAGTTTGTGATATTTTTTCTGGGATTCTCTTCAAGACAGAATTAATTGCTATGGGGTCAAGGACGAGTCCTTGATACAAAAGAAGCGATAAAAAGATATATTGTAGCTATAGAAAACCTGCAGTCTTCTTACAGGCAGTCTGCTCTTCAGACATTCTTCACTTTAAAAATCACTTCTCAGAATGAAATGGATTTCAAGGAGTTTGGTTTACAAAGGCTGCACTGCATGTCCACTAAGAAAGAGGCCAGCCCTGGTTGGTCCTCAGTTTCAGCAAACCTCAAAATGTTGGATAAGCATCGAATACATGTGTCCAGATGTTGCCTTCTAGCAGGAAGTTCAGCTACATATTAAACCATTCTCGAAATTATTCTCTGAATCGCAATTGTAAATGGAGGGAGCTCTATAAATGTCACTCTCCATGCTGAGGTTTCTGTTTTGTTTTCATAAAAGGCAAGACAACAAGCATTTAGTAAGCACTTTTTGTGTGCGGGGAGCTGTCTGTGCTAAATAAAGAATCTGGCCGATAACCAGGGCTACTTTTCTTCACGAAATAAACCTATACAACTGGCCAGAGTGTGTTTGTTTGCATGGATTTGGCTTCTTCTCGCTCTTCCTGCAGTTCAGAAGAGTTGTCTGTGAAACTCCTCATTATTGGACACAAATTGTCCGGCTACTAGCAGAAGGATGGTCTTTGGGAAATTCCCCTCCATCCCCCAGTGGAATGAAGTTCACCTTCTCTCTCCCCTGAAAAATATGTTAAGCTTCAATAAAGCACAGGCACCATTCTGCTAGATGGCTTCCTGAATACAGTTGGAGCTGAGAACAGGCAAATAAGTCTGAGTCACTGATTATCCATGAGTGTAAAAATCACAAGGAGAAAGCTTTTAATCATTCTGACCTAGCAACCCAAGGCACTGTCTTAAAGCAAAGCAATCAGCTCCATCCGACTCTCTATATGCTTAGCCAAGTCAAAGCAGGTCACTTCTAACACTCCACCAAATTAAACTAAAGTAATAGTGACTTACACTCTACACACACACACACACACACACACACACACACATACACCCCTCAAAGGAACAGACCAACACAATTGGAATTGGATCATAGGTTTATAAGGCCAAAGCATCATTGGCCTTTGCTCTTAAGAACAGATACCCAGAATACAAATCACACTCCCTTAGACTATTTCTACCTGAATAAATTGACGGCATTTGAATGGGGCCACTTATTTTCCAAGCTAAAGAAAATGATTAATGATTCAAACTAAGCCTTTTCTACAGTAGGTAATCATCTAGTAATGAAGGAACATTCTCAATTTAAAGTAGAGTTTAATTGATTTTTCTGGATTCCCCCCCCAACCCCTAGGTTTTTCACACTGCAAAATTCCTCCTCCCCAATTCCCTCCTCCCCTTAAAGATCCAAAATATGACTCCCAGGCAAATTTTCTAAGCTTCAGCTAGGCCCAACAAAGAGTCCTCATGCCATTGGTTTGAATTCAGGTGGTGGAAACTCAATGTTTAGAAGGGTGGGGGGATTGTGAAGGGAACTGTTTTTCTTCAACAGCCTGAGGTTGGCATTTGAAATCGCTACATTACTCTGCTGCTTCGTACGGAAATCACTTTGCTCATCTCGGTATTTTAGAAATGACTGGTGTGGTCTTCTGTAGGAAGTAAGAGAAGCCATGATTCGATCGTTCAAAAGACTCGATAAGATGCATTATTCGGGCCCGTGAAAATACTGCAACGTGTAAGAAAGACTGAACATCGTACCGAGGGAGCAGGGTGGGCGGGAATCCAGCTGCTCTCCACTGCCCGGAGCTGCAGGATGGAACTGGAAGGGAGGGGACAGCCTGGAGCGCCTGAGGGCCAGCTGGATCTCTGGCAGAGGCCAGGGCTGAGGGTGATAACCCGGGACTGGGGGTGAGATGGATGAAGGGCTGCGGAGAAAAGCTATGTAGGAAGCCAAGGACAAGGCTTCTCTGCTTCAGATCCCCGCCTGTGCCAGAATATGTCTGGAAAAAGCACAAAAGTAGTTCTAGCTCCTGCAATGGACCGAAGGGTGTGTGCGCTGCGTAGTGGGAGACAGCCGCTACGCTTAACCACCTGGGCCAGGGTGGTCAAAGCCCCGTGGACAAGTTCGATTCAGCTCCCAGGTGTCACCTCCTGCGCGCCTCGTTTCCTGAGGAGATTCGACGCAGGAGGTGGAGAAGTACAAAGCCGCAGGGAATGAGTCCTGGGGGAAGGAAGGAATGAGCTTTGGGATCTTGTCCATTTCCCCAATGCGGTTCGAAGTAAACCTGCTGGGGAAGAAGCAGGAAGAAGCCAGGTCGGTTCTGCCCTCTGCTAGCACAGAGAGGTTTCCTCATCTTTGAGCCCAGGTAGAAATTATCCACCACAAGACTGACCACCGAGCTGAATGAGGATAATCAGCCGCAACCACAGCTTGCTTCGCTGCCCGGAATGGAAGGAGGGCGACCAGGACCAGAGAGAGCGGGGGCCAGGGAGGAAGCATGGGGAGCCCTTGTTCTAGGTCAGAATAATTCTCAGGCTAGACAAGAGAAGGGACACACTCCCTTGGGAAAACCCAGAGAGATGAGCTCTCGCCCCAAATCAGAGGCCAGACCGGCCCTTGACCTTTCGTCGAAGCCGTCGGGTGAAAATCATAGGCTTGGAGCTGTAAGGAACTTTGGAGACAATCTAGCCAAACCCTTCCTCCCTTTATAGGGGAGGAAACTGAGGCCCAGAGGAAAGAAGGAACTTCCCTGAAGTCAAATAGCTAGTAAATGGCAAATCAAGTGGCAAAGGCAGGATTCGAACCCAGGTCCTCAGAGCTTCCTTCTTGGGGATCGTTTCTAGGCCCGGGCTTAGGAAGGGTAGACGTGGGAGTCCAAAGCTCCTTCTCTCCCTCCGCAGGCTCTCGGCCTCTCTTTCTCTCTTCTCTCCCCCCCCCCCCCCGCCCTCCTGGTGAAGAGAGGCAGCCTGCGTTGCTGGGGGTGGGGGGTGGGGGAGAGGAGGAGAAGAGGGGGTGTGGAGGACTTTCAAAACCGTTAGCTATAGTAGGGTTGTTTTTTTTTTCCTCTCCTCCTCCTCCTCCTCCTTGCTACGGTTTCTTTTCTTTTCTCTTCCTGTCCAAATATTTTTAAATTTCCGCGCCTGAAATAACAGCTCCTTTAATTTACTCAGTTTCCTCCGAAGGCTGGGCTGCCTGCTAGGCTCGTCTCCCCCCACCCCCATCCCATCCCTGCCGCCTGGCTCCCGCGGGTCGTGGGGCTGAGAGGGGGGGCAACAGGAGCTGCCTCTGCCCCCGCCCCCACCCCTCCGGCCCCCCTGCGGGGACCTCGCCTGACCCCGGCTCTTTGGGCGCCTTGGGCTAGCGGGAGGAGGCAGGGATGGGGGAGACCGCGGCTTCCTCCCCTTTTCCTCCACCCCCGGTTCGCTCCCTCCTTCCCTTCTTCCCAGCCTGGCCTCCCCTGTTCCCAGTCTCCGGGCTCCTTTTAGCCCGCCGCCCTTTGGAGAGAGCTGCCTTTTCGTGGGGATTTCTGCTTTTCTGCCCCCGACTCGGACCCCCAATCTCCCTCAGTCTCATCCCCCAGCACCAGCAGCGGCAGCGGCGGAGGGACTGAGTGACCGAAGCCTCTCCCCCCAACCCCCCGGTAACCTTGGAGGCGCCCTCGCAGTGAGTCTGTGCGGGGCCTGCGGGGGGCGGGGGGAGGGGGGAGCGGCGAGAGCGGGGCAGGCGTTTCCTGGCTGCAGCCGCCAGGCGCCCGGGGACCGGCTTTCAGGGGCCGGCATCTCCCCACCTCCCCCCAACTCCCCCTCCCGCCAGGCCAGGCTCCTAGTTCTCTGGTTGGGGGGGCAGTCAAGGGAGGGGGTTCGGCCCGGCGGCGATCCAGCAGGATCGTGGCTGTGACCTTGGGCCTCCGGGCTGGAGGAGGCTGGAGGGCAGCGTGGGAGAAGCGAGAGAGGCGACGGGGCGGGGGTAGGAGGGGGCCAGGAGGGCGGGCTTGTCCCGGGTCCCCATCGAGGTGAGCTGGCCCATAGGAGGGGGGAGGGAGTTCGGGGGAGAAGGTCAGCCGCAGCGAACAGAGCGCCGTGCGGAGCCGAGCCCCAGGGAGCTGCTCAGTGCCCTCGGTCCCGGAGAACTCCAGGGACCGACCGGCCGAGAAAGCTAAGCAGCGATCGAGGAAAGGCAACTGGTAGAAGGGCACCTGGGCAGGGCTGTCCCGCACCAAGCTACGGGACTCATTTCCTACCCCTACTGCCTAGGTTAAGCATATGCACGGTCCTAAGAGTACACATGACCTGCGCCTGACAAATCGTAGGCGCTTAATAAATGTTGATTGAATCTAATTGAAGAGGCCAGTCCCCGAGCATCCGAGGAACTTTAGAGCCAGAGGCCGGGGAGGGGGCGGGGAACGGGGGGGAGAGAATCTGTCAGTGCTTTGGGTGGTAGTAGT